TGTACTAGAAGTACCAGAAAAGAAAGAACAATATACTGGAAAAACAAAACAATGTACTAGAAACATATAACAATGTCCCAGAAAAGAAGTAACAATGTACTAGAAAAGAAGTAAAAATGTACTAGAAACATATAACAATGTCCCAGAAAAGAAGTAACAATATACTAGAAAAGGAGTAAAAATGTACTAGAAACATATAACAATGTCCCAGAGAAGAAGCTACAATATACTGAAAAAAACTTAACAATGTACCTGAAAAGAAGTAACGAACTTTAACAAAATCGTGTGTTGTTTTTTTTTGTGTTGTTTTTTTTCTCAGAATCAACGACCGTATTGTGACAGTCAACGGTATCTCTCTGGAGAATGTGGACCATGCCACGGCCATCAACGTGCTCCGTGACTGTGGCAACACCGTCAATTTGGTGAGGAAACTTCTGCACCCTTGTGTGTTTTTTGTTGTTGTTGTTGTTGTTATTGCTGCTGCTGCTGTTGTTGATGTTGTTGCTGCTGTTGTTGTTGCCATCAACGTGCTCCGAGACGGTGTCAACACCGTCAATCTGGTGAGGGAACTTCTGCACCCTTGTGTGTTTTTTGTTGGGTTTTGTTGTTGTTGTTGTTGTTGCTGTTGCTGCTTTTGTTGCTGCTGCCCACATATCTGTCTCCCCCGCTCAATATCAGTCGCAAGACGCAGTATGCTATTATCAGCTATGAGGCTTGAAAGGAACAAAAGTGACTTTCCATGAAATTTTTTTTTTTAAGATTAATTGAAAGATTGATGTCTTCTGCTTCATTTAAGATAAAAAATAAACGACTATAATTGACTATAAATGTCAAGTCTCTATCTCAATTCTGAGACCCCCATTGCTATGGAAACATGTTGCTCAACTTCGGAGGTCATTTTCTCCTTTCCGTGTTTCCTCACCTCGCACAATTAAAAGCTCTGTATTTTCGTCAAATATGGTCGTATTTACTTCATTTTTGTTTTAAATTGTTCGGTAAAGGTGATAGTTTTTTAAAATAATGTGAACTCAGTTATGAAATTTCCTCCATATGACTGATATTGACCGGCAGGAACACATCATTATGTTCTGTTCTCATCCCCCAGGTTGTGAGGAGGAGGATTCTGTTGCCTGCCTCGGACAGACAGAGCATTCCTTTCAAGATTGTCTTGAACAAAAAGAACAAGAAAGATGGTGAGGCTTTATATTGGATATTGTTGGTCAGCTTAATAAAATGTGTTAGTGGGTGGTTGGCGGGTGCTCTGGTGTGGTTTGCTTCTTCTTTCTTTCCTATCAAACATCTATCGTCCTTGTCTCCCCTTCTTTCTTTAGTATGTTTGTCACTCTCTTGTAACACCTCTAATCTCTCTGGCGCTCATATGACCTTATGCAGTTGCGAGTGCCGTAAAACCTCTTCTAAAACTAAACTAAAATGTGTTAAGCTGAAAATTTATAATTTTTTTTCTTTCCCTGTCTGTCTGTCTGTCTGTCTGTCTGTCTGTCTGTCTGTCTGTCTGTCTGTCTG